TAAATCAGAACGGCAGTAAGGTAAGAGCCCCCAGGGATTCCAGGCCCCCTCCACTGGGCAGCCCACGGGGGGGGGCACCATGGGCGTCTCGCATTCTTCCAAGGAGGCGTGGGAACGCGAGAGCAGGAGCGACTTCTGGTGGACGCAGATCCAGGAGGGGTTCCGGAGCCAGAGCGACTTCAACTGGGACCAGATCAAGCAGCTGCACCAGAGGTTCCGGCTGCTGAGCGGAGACCAGCCCACCATCCGGCCCGAGAACTTCGACTACGTCCTGGACCTGGAGTTCAACCCGATCCGCTCCAGGATCGTCCGCGCCTTCTTCGACAACCGGAACCTGGGCAAGGGGACCAGCGGCCTGGCGGAGGAGATTGGCTTCGAGGACTTCCTGACCATCATCTCCTACTTCAAGCCGCTGCGCTCGCACTTCAGCAAGGAGGAGGCGGAGCTGTACCGTCGGGAGAAGCTGCGCTTCCTCTTCCACATGTACGACGAGGACGGCGACGGGGTCATCACGCTGCAGGAGTACCGCAGGGTGGTGGAGGACCTGCTGTCGGCGAACCCGCAGGTGGAGCGCGCCTGGGTGCGCTCCATCGCCAACTCCATCGCGTGCCGCGCCTTGAAGGAGGCGGCCAGGGTGTCCGGCCATCCGCGGCAGGAGGACCAGCCCTACCAGGCCATCACCTTCGAGGACTTCGTCAAGACCTGGCAGGGCATCGACTTGGAGGTCAAGATGCGAGTCAACTTCCTGAACCAAGAAGCCGCGGCCTTGTGACAGTGACCCGCGGGGCCGTGCCCACCCCCAGCCCCACGGGAGAACGCCGTGAGCCCGGCAGCAGCTACCGGGTACGTGGGACTTGGTGACTTTTATCTCTGAGAATAAAGACAAATCAAAAGAAGAGCAGGGCGGTGGTGGCGCACGCCTTTAATCCCAGCACTCGGGAGGCAGAGACGGGTGGGTCTCTGTGAGTTCGAGGCCAGCCTGGCCTACAGAGCGAGTTCCAGGACAGCCAGGGCTACACAGAGAAACCCTGTCTTGAAAAACAAACAAGCAAGCAAACAAACAAAAGGACTTTAGCTCTTTACAGGAAAAGTTTGTCAAACCTGGCCGTATCAGTTCCTCTTCTGGTTGCTTGAACAAAAACCCTTCACGTGGGCGCCTTTAGGAAGGAATGGATTGTTGAGGACACAGTCCGCGGTAAAGCCGGACGTTACTTTGTTAATCTGCTGTTTCTTAGCGGTATCGCTGTCGCAAGCACGAGCGAGCGAGCGTCACATGGCCCAGGATGGCCTCCATAGCTGAGGGGGTATCCTGTGTTCCCACCCCGACTTCCCGAGTGCTAGCATTACAGGCTTGTGTGGCCACATCCGGAGTTGATCCCGGAGCTTAGCGCATGCCACACAGACAGGCTCTCCACCGACCTCGCTACTGCCCCCAGGCCACATTTGAAGTTCTTTGTTTACTAATTTAAACTGTGCTGTATCTCTGGGAATTTGTGTGTGGGCACTGTATTTACCTCATTGCCACCCCTCCCTTTCCCCGCCCAGTTCCTCCCAAGCCCCTCCCCCGCCACTCTCAAATTCCAGACATCTTTACTGTTATATATGCGTATATAAGTACAACCGAGCCCATTCCGTGCGATCATATGTGCATAAGCCTAAGGCTGGCCGCTTGGCATTGGGTAATCCATGGGGACGTGGGGGGAACCCATCCCCCATCCCTGGAAAAAACTGCTTCTCCCCATGTCAGCCGCTATTGACTGCCTACAGCTCTTCATCTGGGGTGGGGCCTTGTGGGATCTCCCCATCCACGTTAGATGGTGTTACCCTTAGGCATGTCTTGTTCAGGCAACACAGCTGTGGTTTCATGGGTGGCGCTTCCCATGTCTCAGAGGTGCTCTCTCGAGGCAGGTGTCCTTGTCTTCTGGCTCTTAAGATCCTTCCTTCCGCCCTCTCTGCTTCGATGTTCCCGCGCCTCGGGTATAGGGGTTGAGTTGTAGATGTATCCCATGGGAATGGACACCCGTGGCCGCTTATGCTCTGCCTTTGGACAGGTTATGAACTTTCTCTCCATCTGCTGCAGCTTCTCTGGTGAGGGGTGAGAGCTACATGTAGCAGGCCGAGCTGGGTGGGATGCAGGCTCCATTTTTGTTTTATTTCGAGACAGGGTCTTGCTATGTAGCGCTGGATGGCCTGGGACTAGCCATGTAGACCAGGCTAGCCTGTAACTCACAGAGATCCGCCTGCCTCTGCCTCCTGAGTACTGGGATTAAAGGCCCAGGTCATCCGAGGATCCTTGAAAGAGTTACGACACTTAATACAAGAGGGTCTCGTTTCTCTGTTTCTAAAAACATGGTTGTATCCTGTTTTGCATTTATTGGTTAATTTTTGCATTTATGAGAACTGAACCTAGGCCCCATGCAAGAGCTCCGCCTCTGAGTCCTATCCCTATCCCCACCCCTTTTCAAATTCCTGTGAGTCTCTGCAGACCTGTGAGCACAGGGCTTCCTGAGATGTCTTTAAAGGTTGTGTGCAGTAATTTTCTCTTTGTTGTTCTAGCTGAGAAAACATTAAAGTTTAAGAATCTACCAAAAATGCCTACTGGAGTTCTAAATTATCTCTAACGAAAGGCTGCTGCTTTGCCGAATACGCATAAGAGTGAAGACGGTAATGAATATGCATGAGTGAGGGTGATGGATATGCATAAGACTTGTGGTTGATGCATATGCATGATGAAGGGGATGCATATGCATAAGACTGGTGGGGGTGATGAACATGGCATAAGAGTGAAGGTAAGGACAAGTATGTATGGGAGAGGTTGCGTTCCTTGTGGGGCAGTTGTTTCACATGTTTGTTTACTTATATAAATTTTGGGGACTGCCGGGCGTTGGTGGCACACGCCTTTAATCCCAGCACTCGGGAGGCAGAGGCAGGTGGATCTTTGTGAGTTCGAGACCAGCCTGGTCTACAGATCGAGTTCCAGGACAGCCTCCAAAGCCACAGAGAAACCCTGTCTCGAAAAACCAAAAAAACCAAAAAAAAAAAAAAATTTTGGGGACAAAGTTTCAAGTTATCTCAGGCTGGCCTCAACCTCACTGTGCAGCCTAGGATGACCTTGCTCTGGGCGATATGTCCTGAGTGCTGGGAGTTCAGTCCTGCACTACTGACTCAAGGCTCTCTGCCTGTGGAGCAAGCACTGTACCAACCCAACCTCATCCCAGCCCCCAGATCAAAATTTCCTCCAGATCAGAGCACACACGGGATTGCTTCTGGGCCTGGAAGTGACCCTTAACCATGATGTACAGAGAGAGGAAAAGCATTTTTTTTTCAACAATACAGAGTCAAGCCAGCAGAATCTCCGGTTAGGCTGTGGACTAAGACTTGGATAATTAAAAATGGAGACAATGTCTCATTGTGTAGAGGGACACATTGTTGCCCATGAAAAAGCCACTCCGGGGCTCTGAGACATCAAGTAGACAGTGTGGAGTGTGTCTACCATAGCCAAGCAGACAAGAGGTTAGCTTCAGACACCAAACTGAAGGGAAGTTCTACACTTTCAGGAGGCTTTTGCTAGCAGGAAAGAACTTGAGGCTGGGAAGACGGCTTCATGGGGGAAAAGGCTTTGCCATACAAGGATGGGAGCCACGTTTGGATTCCAGAGCCCACATCCAGCCAGTCGAGGTGCACCAGGCTTTTCTTTGGGGCCACCGACCAGCTCCCAAGTCACCGCACAGTTTTGAATGCCCAGCTAGCTCGTATGTCCTCACCTGTTTCTCTTTATTTACATTTAACCCTGGGGCGTTTTACCTTTCTTTCCTTCCTTCTGTCTGTCTTACTTTCCTGCGGTCTCCATGACTGGCTGGCGGCTGCCTAGCTTCAGGTCTTGGGTGTGTCCCTCTCTCCCTTGTTCTCTTCCTTTTTCTTCTCTCTTTCTCTCCTATCTATTCTCTCTGCCTGCCAGCCCCACCTATCCCTCTCCTGTATAGCTGTTGACTGCTCGGCACTTTATTAGACCATCAGGTATCTTAGGCAGGCAAGGTAAAACAACACATCTTTACATCGTTAAACACATGCAGCATAAACAAATTGAACACATCTTTGCCTAAAGTAATATTCCACAACATCAACAAACATAATACATGTTTACATAAAGTTATATCCCACAACATCAACAAACATAACACATGTTTACATAGTTAAAGTTATATCCCACAACATAAACAAATGTAACACATGTTTACATAAAGTTATATTCCACAACAATATGGTACTGCACATCTGTAATCATAGTACTCCCGGAACTGTTGTGTCCAAGTTGCAAAGTCCCCAGAGACCACCAGGAAGACAGACCCACTAAACTGCAAAAGCAAGGTTTTAATTGTTCATTTAACCATGACAGGGACTCCGTCTAGCAAGCTGACGCAGCAGCCTCCAGAGGGAGTGAAGTTCCCTGTCTACTGCTAGGTTTTATAGACAAAAGTTACAGGACTACGTCAGTAGGCACTGGTTGGCTTCTGATTGGTTCACATTTAGGAACAGTCAGGAGAATTTCTCAGAGTCATATTTTGTCACGAAATACCTGTGTGCCAATTATTTTCATTTGTCAGTGTCATTCTCTCCTCTTCTTATAGGTAATTCAATCCTGGGTTACTAGTAGACAATTTTTATTGTTATCTTGTCCCCTATGTAAGGGAGTTTTTCTTTGACTTAGCATCTCAACCAGGGAAAAGGGGTGATGTATTCTTTTCTGTGCTACTTCCTGCTGATTTTGGGGTGTTGTAGTCAGGGGCCCAAGCAGGCTGAAATGCTAGTCAAAAGCAAAGAGGGAATTTAGAAGCATCTGGTTGGCAGACTCTGTTGAAGAAATAGGGAGTGTTCACATCAGCTGGACTGGTTCACATTCACAGTAAATTCAGAGCTCACAGTCTTTAGGAGCGGCCTGTAGTCAGCAACTGATGCTCGGATGTGTCTGTCAGAAGCAGAAACCAGAAGCGGGAATCTGTTTGAGACATGTTTAAACTGGGAACAGAAGATAAAACTTATATACTCAATCAGAACGTTTAGGCCCACAGTTTTAGGGGTCAGGAAGGGCAGGAGTCCCAAGACCAGGGGAGAAAATCCCATTCTCAGGAACAGACAGGTGGGTTAACAAAGCTGTACTTAGCTGGAGTCCTTTTGACCAGTGAGAAGTGGATGTAAGCTTCTTTTGATCCTCTAAAGCCTATATAGACTTTATTATACAAAAGGACTTAAAAGTGTTAGACATATTAGTATTGTCAATCTGCACCAAAATCTACATTGTAGAAAAAGCAGATATCAGGTATCTGTAAAACAGCAGGAACAGACTCATACCTTTGAGTCCTAGCAAAAACTACAGGTTTGAGTAGGAAGCTTGTACATTTTTCTTCTGTCCAGTGAGTCAGGTATAGACTGAACAGAGGTGCCTTTAACCTGATGAAAAGCCCTTTATGGTTATGTTTAGATGACAACCAAAATCTAAAAACTTGAGCTTGTGACTGAAGAGCAGGTAGTCACTGTTCTGTCAGCTTATCAGAACTTTATTAAATGAGCTAGTAAGCTGGCTACAGTCTAACCATTAATACTATCAGAGATCTGAGAAAGACAAATTTTATACAGTTTCTGAATCTATTAAAAAATGACAGGGTCCAGTTCATATATAGTTAGCCACACCCAAATCTCCATTAGCAGGTAGAAATATCAAAGAATAGCATCAATCTTCACAAGGCCTATATGGTGAGAGTATTTTTTTCCTCTCTGTGGTAGAGGGACATGGAAAAGACTGGCCTTATTTTGTCTAGGCAAAAGGGGTACAGTCAATTCTCCAATGTCCTGTTGCTTGTCCACAGTCTGGGCCAGATCCTGGCAGCAGGTATGCATAGGGGCACCCTGCCCCCTGGTCAGCATTGTATAGACATTGAGGTGTCCTGTAATCTTCTCTGGAGACTTTGGGTCACCGTCAGGATCTGTAATTCTCTGTCTGATAATGTAAGTTTTTAGTCAACATTTCAAATGTCATATTCTGCAGCTCTCTGGAAGCATTGAGAGTATTTTCTAGGTAAATCTGGATCCACAACTTTGTTTTTACTTATTTGTTTTAAGTTTAACCTTTGAAAACTTATACAGGGGACTGAGTAAGGTTTATTCTTGTTCTACTTAATATGGCTACAATGATATTAGTGCAGGATCTGTCTGGAGAACTGGATTCAAATTGAGAGGCTGTGGATGGATGTTTTACTCAGAGCCCTCCAGTTCTGACTGTAACTGGTTTTACCTTAGCAAACACACAGGACATTTAAAGAGACAGAGTAGACTTAAAGTTGTCAGTAACAAGAACGTAAATCTGCTGCAGATGGAAACAGGGCATGTTTCTGGGTGAAACATGTGCCCTATCGGGCCCTGGAAAGGCACAACATTCTCCAAACAAGCCATGTATAACAGAGCCAGTGAAAAAAGAAAACTGTCAGTCACCAACATAAAAGGCAAAAAGGTAAACGAATTATGTCCGGCAGCAGAATCTGTTGGCAGAAGCTGACTACATTGTCCTTCTGTCTAAGCTGAGGGAAGGGGGTAATTTATAGAGTACAAACATAAAATATCCTTTATGTCCTTAAAACTATTATCACCTGGGTGACTGCTAATTTTTTTTTACAAGACAGGGTTTCTCTGTATTGTTTTGGAGGCTGTTGGACCAGCCCAGCCTCGAACTCACAGAGATCCGCCTGCCTTTGCCTCCCGAGTGCTGGGATTAAAGGCGTGCGCCACCACCACCCGGCAAATTATAAAGGTCATATAACTTTTTTCAGAACAGAAAGCCCTAATTAACAGTAGGTTTTATGTCTCCTTAAAAGGGGGAAGACACAAGTTGCTCTATCAACTACCAACTGAAGTACACCCCCAGCCCCACATCTCTCTGTCAGTGATTGGCCATGCATGAAGGGCTGGTAAAGTAGACTTACTTTTTTTCTGGTACAAGTTATGTGAAAAAGTTTAAGCAACCACACGTCTCATAGAGAACCTATGTAAAACTCAACAGTGACAAGAACAAATGATCCAAGTAGAAAATGGGCAAAATCCATGAACAGACGTTTTGTTACCAAGCACATATAGATGGCAACATCATATTAGCGCATTAAAACCTGTGCCTTGGCAATTCTGCTTGAGCTGGCTGCTAGCCGCCCAAGGTGAGGCGAGGCGCAGAAACACTGCGTCCAGGCATCGGGGTGTACCGACCTGCAGCCAGCAGCTGGGGTGACCCATCTCTTATGGGAGTCACTGTGTGCAGCCACCACAAATGACTATTAACCCATATAATTTTTTCCCTGTGGAAGTAAAAGCATAACGTAGCAGCGCTGGTCGTTGGCTCCCAGTGTTCCTGAAAGAAAAAAAAATTTGCCGGGCGTTGGTGACGCACGCCTTTAATCCCAGCACTCAGGAGGCAGAGGCAGGCGGATCTCTGTGAGTTTGAGGCCAGCCTGGTCTACAGAGCGAGTTCCAGGATAGCCTCCAAAGCCACAGAGAAACCCTGTCTCAAAAAACCAAAAAAAAAAAATAATAACATTTTTTAGTCACAACCCCAGATTTTTTGTTTCATGTCCTTCCAATGGGTCAGGCAGAGATCTAGAGGGGAGGAGGGTGTCTGTCCCATGTTAGGTTTCGTCCCAGTCAGGTCTGGACTGTCAGTACCGCCAAGACAAGACAAACACAAACAAACACAGCACTTAGACAAAGAAAGGGGTCCATCTCAAAGACTTGCAAGTTTCAGATTTACAGTCGGGAGGCAAACACCCCAGTAGCTACTCAGATTCAGATAGTGCATTAATAAGTCGGATGTCTACCCAAATTCAGATTCAGACATCTCTCAGCTCCTCCAGATCTGACCTTATAGCACATCTGCCGAGGTCTTCTTGATCTGTTTCTTACAGTTTCAGATGGTCCGCCAGCAAACCAGAAACAGAAACATAAAATCACAAAAACATAAAATCACAAGCCTGCCACAGAACTCAGGACATAGAACTTGCCAGGCAGGCACAACAAATAACAGAAACAAACAAACAAACAAACAGAACATTTACCTGTCTGGTGGGAGACTTAAACCTTTAGGGGTCTGGAGTCCTGGGGATCGCAGACCAGCTCCCAAATGTTGTGCCCAAGTTGCAAAGTCCCCAGACACTACCAGGAAGACAGACCCACTAAACTGCAAATGCAAGGTTTTAATTGTATTGATTGTTCATCCAACCATGATAGTTGTCTGGGTAACTGTCACAACAGCCTCCAGAGGGAGTGAAGTTCCCTGTCTACTGCCAGGTTTTAAAGACAAAAGTTACAGGATTACATCAGTAGGTACGGGTTGGTTTCTGATTGGTTCACATTTGGGAACAACTAGGAGCATTTCTCTGGCATATTTTGTCACGAAATACCTGTGTACCAAGTATTTTCATTGGTCAGTGCTATGGTTTCTATGGTATTGTCTTGTTACTTGCAGGTGGCCTGATGCCCGTAGATACCAGTAGTTTTCAGAACTATATCCTGGAGACTACAGGAGAGGTTTTGGTCCTCTCTGGCGTTTCTTTTGTGGCCATCAGTTCCTAGGAACCAAGTATTTAGGAAGTTGGCTGTGTGTGTGTGTGTGTGTGTGTGTGTGTGTGTCTGGAGTTTCTTTGTGTTTGGTTTCGGCCCTAGACTCTGGGAGGCCAGAGGATCTGTGTCAGAGGCCTACGTGTCTTTTCTGTAGCCTGTCATGGCTGCTAAAGCAGGGGCTGAGAGAGGGTCTGGTCCCTTCATTTTTAAAGTGAAGCCTTTGAGTCTAGTTTACCCCCTTAGACCAGGCTGGGAGGTAGAGATATAAGAATCCCTTCAAGCTCCAGGACCCGATAGCTTGGCACAGCAGAAGCTAACAGCAAAGAAATCCTGCCACCAACATGACAGAAGGCAAGGACACTTGAGACTGGCCTCTGGCCTCCACATGTGTGCTGTGGCATTTATAGACATGAAGGTGCTTGAGCACATGCGCGCGCACACACACACACATACCACATACAGACACAAAGATTGAAAAAAAAGAAGACAAACTATATGATGAGGGAAAAAAACTTAGAAAACCCGGGTTATTCACAGGGATCAGCCACAGTTGATGGCAAACAGAGGCTGCTTTTGCGGGCAATACTGACTCTTCAGGTGGGCCCATATATAGCCAGCAGGTAACAAAAACCAGACAGCACTGGGCTGGGTGTGTATCACCTTTGGGCCGAGTCTTACTGAGCTCTGTATGAAAGCATGCCTGCACAGCTGCTCTGTGCCAGTCTTTTTAAAGACTATGTCCATATCCCTGAAGCTGAGCTGAGGGCATTTGATCCCCTTTGATATAGCTTTCTAAATAAATTCATTTTCTGCTTTTTACCATTTTTCTGCTTGATTTCCTGGCACCCAGAGTCAGACCTTCCATGGCCTAGGACTCTTGTACAGCTGTTTCCTCTTAACTGAAGTTCTCTCTTGTGGAGGCTTCTGAGACTCAGAAAACAGAGGAAACTTGAAAGATGCATGACGCTACAAAACATAAGACTCGCTCAGTGTCTGGGGCCAGCACATCCTAGGCTTTCTCAGAGGCCACATGAAACCACAAAGGGACACTAGGTCTCTGTCTTGCCCAGGGACAGCCTTGTCAAGTCAATCTAGGGTTGGGGCCAGGGCCCTGAAGGGCCTAAGGGAACCTGGCTTTTTCCCCTGAAGAGACTGGGAAGGAGAAGGAGGAGACAGGAACTGAGAGCTTTTGCCTCTGAGGATTCCTGGAGACAGGATCGCCATTTCAGCTTGGTAGAGGTAAGATCTACTGGCTTGGCTGCCTTGTCTCTCTGGTTTTAGCTTGAAGTTGAACCCCAGTATCTGTCTCTGGGTCTTTTATTATTTGTGTTACTTTTTTTGTTTTTTTGAGATGGGGTTTCTCTGTATTGTTTTGGAGGCTGTCCTGGAACTTGCTCGGTAGACCAGGCTGGCCTCGAACTCACAGAGATCCGCCTGCCTCTGCCTCCCGAGTGCTGGAATTAAAGGCGTGTGCCACCACCGCCTCGGAGGATACAGTTTTTGCTGTCATCACCCATGTTTGGGAGGGATTTCCAGTGACTCGGGTGGCTCTGAGTCACGCCTGCCATTGTTAGTAACCTCTCTCTTCCACTCTAACAAACAACTCCAGCAAACTCACTGGGTCACTGAGACCCACCCGGATGGACTTGTTTCTTTCATCTACTTTCAGCGCCCTGTCTGGGGTGAACAGACATTTATTCAGGTCTCCCCAGGAAAGATCACACGACAGCTCTGGTAGCAGTATCATCCTTGAACACTATTAGAGATTGGCTATTAGACCTAACAAGAAGATGGCCATACCCAGGAGAAGACAAGCTTGCCTCACAGAAGCCTGCGTTTGGTTTAAAGCATCATGGGAAAGTAAGGGGCCTGGTAGAGTCATTCCGTGACTCTTCCTAAAGTGACAGCAAACTGAGATCAGAACAGGAAGACCACAAAACCCAGGTGGGCATAGTGATGCTCACCTTGATTCAAGGTGTCTCTTGGGAGGCAGAGGCAGGAGGATCAGGAGTTCAAGGTCAGCCTTGTGTACATAGCAGGGCTACATAGACCCTGTGTTAAAACAACAGAGAAGCTGGGTGGTGGTGGCTCATGCCTTTAATCCCAGCACCTAGTAGGCAGAAGCAGGCAAATCTCTGAGTTCGAGGCCAGCCTGGTCTACAGAGTGAGTTCCAAGACAGCCAAAAATATACAGAGAAACCCTGTCTCAAAAATCAAAACAAGCAGAGAAGACACAAGAATCAAACACCAACATTGAAGGTTACCCCCCACCCCCACTTTTTTTGAGACAAGGTCTCTCTCTGTAGCCCATGCTGGCCTGGAACTCACTGTGTAGACCAGGCTAGCCTCAAGCTCATAGTCCTCCTCCTCCTCTGCCTCCCTCAAATGTTGGAACTTGAGCCCCCAAAATTCATTTCTCATCTCAAAGGGAATTAGAAAGTTTATTCTGGAGCCAAATATGAGTGACCATGACTCAGGGAACATACACTTGGTTTATGGTAGACACCATGATCCAGAACAGTTTCATGAAGTTATTAGAGTAACAGAATGAAACATCATAAATCAGGACACTTCAAATGGTGGAAACATGGGGGTTGGGGAGGTACCCACAAGGCAGAGAAATCTCTGCTGCAGGCCTCGGCCAGGCCTCAGATGCTGGCCAGTGACTATAGGTCGGTGTGGCCTGTTTGTACATTCCTAAGGCAAACTGTTACCAAACAGTTACAAAGGTGTTAAGCCACACACAGAGAGAGGTAAGCAACAAATGTCTATTCAGGAGGCTCGTGGTAATTGTGTTCCGGGCTTGCCAATTCCTCTCGAAACATTCCAACTCCTGCAATCATTCAAGTTTCAATTAGCCTCGAATGCTCAACTCAGTTGTGGTTCTTTTACCGGGAACTCAGCTCACACAGGCATGTAGCCCCATGTCCAGCCCTGGGTTTGTTGAGCGGGGCAGGGCCTCACTGTTGGGAGTGTCCTAGTCATTGGAGACTGCATAGGTGTCACATTCAACTCCCACCGTCTTCTGCCCTTATTATGACCACCAGATTTTTTTTCCCTGTAAAGGAAATTATTTCTACCACTCTTCCTTTTGTTTTTCAGATTTGGAGTCAAGATACGAGACAAACGGTGTGGTTTCGAAACGGAACAGTTTTGAACTAAATCCAAAGGGGGAAAACAAAATAAAACCCTTGACCATGAGACATCCACTTTCAGAAATAACGGGAAGAAAAAAAAAAGCAAATTCAGAAGAGAAATGCTTTTACCCCGCTGCAAAGAAACCTCAATAGGGAGAAGTCCTCTGTGTAAGGAGCGAAGGAAGGTTCGTAAGGCCGTGACACAAACGTGTACAGCGTGGGAAACTCACGGCTAAAACATACTTGAATGTAAGTGCCGTGGGACATCCTTACAACTGTTCATCGAGACTTCATATTGGCGGGAAGCCTTAGGAATGTGGACTGTGGAGAGGCTGAGGTCGGATCTGTCATCTTACTACCAGAAAATTCATATTGATCCAAAAAAAACCATCCTAGGAATGTAAGGAACATGGGAGGGCCTTGGTAAATAAACATGAAATAATTCATACAGGCGAGGAACCTCACCAACGTCAAGAATGTGGGCGAGGCTTCCATTACCGCAATGGACTTACACAGCGCTGGAAAACCGTACTGATAAGAAACCTTACGGATGTGAAACTACGTGGAAAGGCTTCCTGTTGGGGTCACCAACTCGCTTGACATCACAGTTCACGCTGGCAAGAAACTATGAGTGGATATAAGGAATTCGGGGAGGCCTTAACTGTGAGTTTGTGCAATATAAAAAAAAATCCATACTGGCAAGTAACGCGATGAATGTGAGGAACGTAAGGTCTTTAGCTGTGGTTGAAGACATGTTAAGATCACCAGAAAGATCACGCCAGTGAGAAACTCTGGATACAAAGACTGTGGTGGGGGAGGGGGCTCGGGCAGTCGCCATTACCTGATAGTGACACCAGCTACCTCACACTGGGGAGAAACCCTATCAATGTCAGGAACTCGGGAGGCCTGTGATTGAAGATCAAGTCTTGTGCTGCGTAGTGAAAGACCTGAGGTTATCAGGCTTCAGGCTGAATACCCCGGTGACGTCCCGAGCTCAATAACCAGACAGTTGGATGCAAACCGCGAGAGGTTTATTGTTCACACAGGCATCTGTGGGCGATTCAGCAGCTTGGCTAACTGAATGTGCCGGGCTCTAAGACAGTTTTCTTTTTATATACATACTTTTGGCAAGCAAAGTAATAGGGGTATTGTAAGGAGTGGAGCTACTGCAGGTGCAGATCTGGGCAAGCAATACGGGTATTGTTAGAACTCGGGCATAACTCATCCTTCCTGAGAAACCACAAGGTCAAGATTAAACTTATCTCTACAGCCTGCCAGTATCCTGCATCAGCACTCTGGACCCGATGTTCTTTTTAATTCGACCTTGTTCCCTGTCTAGGGGAAGGGACCTTGGGGAATTTTCCACTGAGGTGATCTTCTGAGTCTCATAAAGGGGGGGGGTGTATTGAGGTTTTTCAGTAGGAGAGCTCCCTGGTGAGCAACCGGAAGAGCACAGTGTGGGAAAGGTTTTAGTCTTTCTGTCATCCTGCTCAACACGAGAAGACCCGGGTCGTACTTGAGAAAGCTCTTACACGTGAGGAATGGAAGAGCCCTTAGGCGTGTGGTTCAAGCCCTGTTAGGCACGACGGAGCCCCAGTGCGAAGCTCTCTGGAGGCAAAGACCTCAAGCTGCTGGAACCTCCTCAGTCAGCAGGAGGAGGGACGTGAAAAGACCTTTGCGGGGCTTCGCCCTCTGGTCGACTCGAGAGATCTTATAGTGAAACTGCGATTTAAACATGAAAGGCAGGCTTTACACAGACGACTGACTCAGAGCACATCGACGCTGGTGAAGCTGGTAGCTAGGTAGACATTAGCCAGCTAGGAAGATAACTGAGGATTCGCCCCCCATCCCGTTGCCCTGGTAACGCTAAAAATAGAAATACCACTGTGGTCCCTTAAGACATAAACGGTCACATAAAAAGGTACAGGTATCTGGGTTGTGTTGAGGTCATTAAGGCAAAGCTGCTTCTTCCCGGTCAAGACGGAAACTGGGCTGTAGGTATGGGTAGAGAGAGAACATTTCAGAGCACACTGTGTGTGCACACTGAGTGTGGGCACCAGGGTGAGGGCAGGGGTGGGGTTGCTCTCTTGTTAAGCAGGCTTTCTCGGACCATCAACTCCAGAAAAAGAAGACATGGAGACTTAGTATTAGTTATGAATGCTTGTCCCATTAGCTCCTGAAAGTTAACTTAGCCTGTCTCTCTTCATCTACGTTTTCCTTGGGGATTTTTACCTTTCCTTCATTCATGTCCTACTCTCCTGCTTCCTCCGTGTCTGTCTGTCTGTCTGGCCCCAGGCGTCTCCCTGTCCTTCTCCCTCATTCATTCTCTCTCTCCAGCCTGGATTCCTCCTCCTACTTATTCACTCCGCCCAACAGCCCTGCCTGTCCCTCTCCTGCCTCGCTATTGGCTGTTCAGCTTTTCGTTAGGCCAATGGGATGCTTTAGTCAGGCCAGGTGAAACAAACGCAGCACATCTTTACATAGTTAAAGTCAAGTTCCACAGCATGCTTCTCCTTCCCGGGAGCCCCTCCCCCTCGGTATTCATGCTTGCAACAGCTCTCGGAGAACACTGCCGCCTGCCTGCTTCTCTAACTCAAGAAAGTGAAACTTGCCTTTTCCCCCTCGGGGGTATCTCAGGTTCTCAGAAGCCCGACCCTCACCCTTCCACCCACCACAACCGACCCTCACCCTTCCACCCACCACAACCGCCCACAGAGCAGCCAAACTCCATTGCGAGCTTTCTCAGACCCTCACTGGGGAAGGCGTGGCTCTCCCTCCCCCTCTTCTCCAGGTGACTGCCAAGATTCAAGTGGCTGCCCTAGTTTTCTCTCAGATTCTAATAAAATTGTCCTCTGGCTTCCTTCTGAGTCCATTTTTAAACTATTTTCCTAGCAAGATGAAGGGACACAAAAGGGGCCCTTGGTTTTCCTGGTGACATGGTGCAGCCCTCCAAACGTCCTCTCGTCATAGACATACACAATTCTGTTTTCCCATGGTAGAATCCATTGGCTATTCTGGCACTGGTGGTGCACACCTTTAATCCCAGCATTCCGGAGGCAGAGGCAGGTGGGTCTGTGAGTTCGAGGCCAGCCTGGTCTATAGATCGAGTTCCAGGACAGCCAGGTCTACACTGAGAAACCCTGCCTGGAAAAAAAAGAGTCAATTAATAACAAATTGACAAGGTTTTTTTTAGTACATCCCATGATAGCAGCTTCCCAGATAACTCTGCCCATCTTGCTAATCTAGCAAATCAGGGCTCTTTTAGTTTAGTCTTAATTACTAATTCTGACATCATATAATTCATACTAAATATGTTTACATAACTCACATACAAGCTGGCACATAATTCACAATCCTCTTGAGGTCCAAGGTTTATCAGAATGAGAGAACCTCAAAGCCATGACTGGGTCTCTCGAGGCAGGACAGAGAGCATTGGACAGAAACAACACAGTTGAAAGCTATGATGGCTGGTTTTGGCTGTCAGCCTGAATACATGAGGAATTAACAACAACAACAAAAAATCCCCAGGCACAGAGCACACACCTAGGAGGGATTTTTAGTCAACTAGATTATTTGAGTTAGGAAGACCCACTTTAAATACTGATCATTTCAGGTGGGGAGACCCACCCTAAATTCGGGCCACACCTCCTCATGGCAGCCTATATAAAGGACATGTAAGACTGGGCATTGGTGGTGCACTCCTTTAATCCCAGCACTCGGGAGGCAGAGGCAGGAGGATCTCTGTGAGTTCGAGGCCAGCCTGGTCTACAGAGTGAGTTCCGGGACTGAATGAAGAGGCCTTTGCTCCTTGCATGCTTGCTCTTGCTGGAGTCTTGTTCCTTCCCTGGCATTAGAGCCTCCTCTGGGATGCCAGTGTCTACTGACAACCAGCTGAGGCATCCTCAATGGGATTCTTGGATGTTTGATGGGGGATGGCCTTCTGCATAACATTTCTCTTATTGGTTGATGAATAAAACACTGATTGGCCAGTAGCCAGGCAGGGAGCATAGGTGGAGCTACCAGACCAGGTGAAGGCTTGGGAGAGGGAGGCAGAGAGATGCCACCAAGAGACGCCATGCTGTCGAGGACGTAACATGCTGGATCAGGGGTAAGCCACAGCCTCGTGGCAATACATGGATGGATAGAAATAGGTTAATAATTAAGAGCAAGCCTGTAAGAAGCCCTAGCCACTGGCCAACAGTTTATAATTAATGTTAGCCTTTGTGTGTTTATTTGGGGGTGAATCGGCTGCGGGACCAGGCGGGACAGAAACCTCCATTAACAGACGTTCCATTGGTAGACAGCCATTATTGGACTAGCCTGCCCACAGCCTGTAAGCCATCCTACTAAAAGAGGGAGAGAGGCTAGACCATGGGGGGAAGTGTTTGGGAGGCCAGGGGGGCCTCTTCAGAGCACTCCTGTAAGCCACCTTCCCCGAGGAGTCTTTCTAAACCAAATCCCCAGGACAAAGGGAGTATCTGGATTTTGCAACCTTTTAGAGGTGGCAGGAAGTTCCCCATCCTGGGATTTAGTTATCATTGAGTATGTGATGAAGAGTTTGGAGGAACCAGGTACCATAGACTGAGAGCAGTCAAGTCACAACAGCCTGCTTCTTGGACATGGGTAAATGCAGCATTGTGTAATTTTTTTTTTACTCAGTCCAGCTCAAATATCTCATTATTAATATTTGTTTCTTGGTTTACATCAGGCATTTCTTTTTATTTTTTATTTATTTTTTCGAGACAGGGTTTCTCTGTATTGCTTTGGAGGTTGTCCCAGCACTCGCTCTGTAGACCAGGCTGGCCTCGAACTCACAGGGATCTGCCTGCCTCTGCCTCCCCGAGTGCTGGGATTAAAGGCATGCACCACCAATGCCCAGTGCATTTCTTTTTAAAAAGATGTATTTCTACTTAGGTGTATGTGTTTCTGTGTGTGTGCAGCGCCCACAGAGGCCAGAAGAGGGCTGCAGATCTTCTGCACGGGAGAAAAAGGCATTTGTGAGATGCCACCATGTGGGTACTGGGAATAGCACTCCAAATGCACACACACTTTAACTTACTGAGCCATCTCTCAGGTTCCAACACTACTTATTCTCTTCCTTCTCACCATACCATGTGTAGTTGTTTTTTTTTTTTTAACTCTTAACTCCTTTGCTCTTTGGGGGCCCGCCACTCACCTCCCAAATAAATATCATAGAGTCTTATTCTTACCAATGCCAATGCCTGGCCGTAGCTTGGCTTGTTTCTTGCCAGTCTTTCTTAACTTAAATGATCCTGCCTAGCTTTTGCCTCTGGGCTTTTACCTTTCTCTATTATCTTTTTCCCCTTCTCATTCTGTGTCTGGCTGTGTGGCTGTGAGACCGGCCCCCTTTCTCACTCCTCCTCTTGTCTCTTGATCCCTCTCCTCAGATTTCTCCTCCTATTTATCCTCTCTGCCTTCCAGCCTGCCTATTTCTCTCTCCTGCCCAGCTATCAGCCGTTCAGCTCTTTATTAGACCAGCCAGGTGTTTTAGACAGGCAAAGTAACACAGCTTCACAGAGTTAAACAAATGCAACATTAAGGAATGCAACACATCTTTGCATCATTAAACAAATACTCCACAGCATAAACAAATGTAAAACACCTTAAGGTAATATTCTACAACAGCCATGTGTCTTAGAGTTCTATTGTTATGAAGAGACACTATGACCATGGGAACTCTTATAAAGGAAAACATTTAATTGGGGCTGGCTTACAGTTTCAGAGGTTAGTCTATTGTAATCATGGCAGGAATCATGGTGGCGTGCAGGCAGACACAGTGCTGGGGAAGAGGCTGAGAGTTCTACATCTGGATCCCCAGGCAGCAGGAATAGCAAGTAGGACACACTGGGCCTTGCTTGAACATTTGAGACCTCAAAGCCCACCCCCAGTGACACACTTCTTCCAACAATGCAAACCTACGCCAACAAGGCCACACCTTATGACCGTACATTCAAACCACCACATCTTGTGTGTTAGGGTTCTCTAGAGGAACAATTTACAGATGGATCTACATGTATGAAGGAAGGGGCTTTATAGGAATGGCTTACAGGCTGTGGTCCAGCTAGGGTTCTCTGGAGGAACAACTTACAGATGGATCTACATGTATGAAGGAAGGGGCTTTATAGGAATGGCTTACAGGCTGTGGTCCAGCTAGTCCAACAATGGCTGTGTAGCAACAGAGGGTCCAAGAATCCCGTAGTTGTTCAGTCCACAGGGCTGGATGTCTCAGCTGGTCTTCAGTGTAGGCCTGCGTCCCGACCAAGTGGGCTCTCATGCCAGTGAAGGGACGGACTTGCCAGCGAGAGTGAGGGCAGAGAGCTTCCTTCCTCCATGTCCTCTCTGTAGGCTGCCAGCAGAGGTGTGGCCCAGATTACAGGCAGATCGTCCCACCTCAGAAGATCCACATTAGAAATGGTCTTCCCAAGTTAAATGATGTCATTAAGAAATAAAAAATCCCTGGGCTGGAGATGGCTCAGCGGTTAAGAGCACTGGCTGTTCTTCCAAAGGACCCGGGCTCGATTCTCAGTACCCGCATGGTAGTTCACAACTGTCTGTTACTTCACTTCCAGGGGATCTGACACTCTCATGCAGGCAAAACCCCAGTGTACATAAAAGATTGTTAAAAATAAAGAAAAAGAAAAAAATCACAAATATCCAGGCACTTGGATTTTTCATTACTTCCAGATGGGGTCAAGTGGGCAACCAAAAACAGCCATCACAACGTGTAAAAGAGTGTGCAAAACAGAAAAAGGAGAAAGGAAAACCGGATTCAGACACAACCTGATAACTTTGTTTTCTTGTGTTTTTGAGACATGCTCTCCATGTGTAACTATGGTGGTCTGGATGAGAGTAGTCCTCATAGGCTCTTCTATTGGAATACCTAGTCTCCAAGGAGCAGAACTACTTGAGAACCAGAAGGACTGGGCGATGTGGCCTTGTGGGGAGAGTGTGTCACTGAGGGTGGGTTCTGAAGTTTCAAATGCCCATGCGGACCCAGTGTTTCCCTCTCCGCCTGGTGCCTGCGGATCAGGTGTAAAGCTTTACACCAGAACCAAGTCCTTGACTTCCCCTCTGAAGCAGTGACCATGGTGTCTCTTCACAGCAATAGAACAGTAACTAAGACAGTAATCCACACAGGAGTGCAGTTGCTTCCCACCTGTTGGTGGGGAAAGAGCATTACAGAGAATTCTGGGACATGTAGTCCAGACGCATTTTTGTGGTCACAGCACTTCAGCGGGATGGCTTGACTTTGGCAGTGTTCCATGGGAGGAAACTAAAGTATAATCCGCATATTTAGCGGGATTCGGGATGCTTGGGGGCTAGAAAGTAAAGACAATTAGTTAATCTGTGAATTATAGGAAACGCCACTCACGCACACGGAGTCCGCACAAACTCAGCTCCGGGCTCCCGCCCCTAGGAATCCTGGGAGTTGTAGTTCCGGAGCTTGGCGTTGCCAGCGCATTTAGCCTGCAGAGGTTGGAGAGCCTGTGAATACATCCCTGCAGGGAAGGTGAGTGGGTCGGGACTGATTTGAGGAACTAGCTCCTGACCTCTTCTGACTTCCACGACCTGGTAACGGGATGTGCGAGGACCTCTTCCGGGTCACCGAAATGAGACATTGTTGCTGATGTTGCCTACTGATTTGGGGGAAAGTTTAGCAATTCTTGGGGTTCGGCCCCAAGGAAGACCTGAACTTAGTAGCGTTTGCGGGAACTCCTCGGCTCTGTGATGCCGAACTCACCTTCCTTTATCTTTCTCACACCCTGTCACTGAGTAAGAATCTTTCTGTGCCTTAGTTTCCCCTAGTGCAAAAGGGAGTATTGGGAGGACCTATAATACACATTTGGTTTTAGGATAAATTATAGAGTACCAAAAAAATGCACACGTGCATATATACATGTAGAGTCCTGTTTACATATGTGTGTTTTATGTGGCATTTTGGTAACCCTGAGATCACATACTGTATGTTTGTATGGTTCTTGGTATGTGCCGTGTAAATGTGACCACGGATGTCTGTCACCTATATGTGGGTGCAGTTCTTTGTATCAGAGAGTGTTGTAGCAATTTTCATTATTTATTTATTTATTTATTATTTATTGAGATAGGGTCTCAATGTGTAACCTGGCTGCTCTATAACCCACTAGGCTTTTCCTGCAATCCCCGCCTCCGAACTGGAATTATGGTCTGTGCCACCACACCTCGATTTTTCTGACCCTTTCGTCCGACTGTTTAATAACTTTTTAGTTGTCAAAGACTTTTTAAAATCGCGAGTGTGTGCACATACCCACACCCGCTCCTGCACAGACAAACACACACCTGTCAGTGGACAGCAGGTGCTCATGGAGTCCACAGGTTTTGGAGCCTCAGCAGCTGGAGTTGCAGGTTCCCAGTGTGGGTGCTGGGAACCAAACCCGCACCCTCTGCGAGAGTGACGCGTGCCTCTGCCGAGCCGTGGCTTCGGCCCCTCCGTGGCCTCTTTAGTTTCTCCGTGGTTAGCTTTATGTGTGGGAGTGTTTTACCTGCGCCGTGAGCTGGGGACTGAAGTGTCCGGAGGAAGGCATCGATCCCCTGACACTGGAGTTAGGGATGGTTGTGAGCTTCCATGTGGGGGCTGGGAACTAACTAACTAACTAACTAACTAACTAACTAACTAACTAACTAACCTGGGTCGTCTGAAAGAGCAGCCAGTGCTCTTCCCTGAGAAGCCCACTCCTTAACCCCAGACCTGGTCTGAAAAGAAAGAGTGTGGCATTCACAGGTGGAGGCTGGGAAATTGTCACAATACTCATAGAGCTTTCTTTCTCAGCTTTTGTTTTTCCTTATGGAACTTTCCAGATAACTCAAATGTGGTAAAACGAACTCCCATGTGACAGTTACTCTCTTACTGTCTCGATTTTGAAATCTTCTTTTCTTCCTCTCCAACACATTTTGTTTTGCCCTCGAGTAGTGTGTGTGAGTGTGTGTGTGTGTGTGTGTGTGTGTGTGTGTGTGTGTGTGTGTGGTACATGTACGTGGAGGCCACTCTCTGCTTTATCTTCTGAGACAGGCTCGTACATTCCTGTGAGACTAGCTGGTCATTGGGCTGCAGGGAACCTCCTGTTTGGGATGTTTACTCTGTAGGACTTCCAAATAACTGTGTCTCTATATGAAGACCAAGAGGGGACCTTTCCTGTTCATTTGTTAGGGCTGGCACTCAAAAGCATCACAGAGTGAATGGATTGGCAATCCTTTGTGTGTGTGTCTGAGTCTTTGCAGCCCAAGATGGCCTCAAACTCCCTTCTAGTCTAGGCTACTCTGTGTAGTGAGACCCTGACTCAAACCAAACAAAAAATGTAGTTAGAAAATCTGCTGGGCGTCTTTTGCTCTTCTGGAATTGTTCTGGTCACCAATGCATGACTCTTGTTCCTTTGAATTTCTCTATCTTTACTTTCTCTCCTCTAGCAGGGTTCAGGGGCCTCTCTTTCACGGACCCCACTGTGTCCTCCTCAGAGTGACCAGCAGTGGACTTCAGGGAGGAGTTGTTCAGTGAGTAAGTGTGATTCGTGTAGCTGCCTGAACAGGGTGCTATGGCTTGGAATTAGATGGAAAAACGGGGACAAAACATGTCCCTTGGTGAAGAGGACTCCCCCACAGTGGGGACTTCCTCCCGGACTCCACCCAAACACAGAGATCCTTTATCAAGCCGGGAAGAAAAGTTCAAGTGGCTGCTCTCTGACTCAGGCAGACAACAGCAGCAAGTGACCTTGCGGGTGCCATTTTTAAGAGGAGAAGAAGGGGAGCTGTGGTGGCAGATGGGCTAGGATGCTGTGGTAAAGGACACAGGGGACTAGGGAGAAGGGGAAGGGAGCAGGGGAAAGGGGCAAGGGTGTTTGTCCCCAAGTGGGAGACAAAGGACTGCCTCTGGGTAGAGGAGACATGTGTGTCACATGGGAAGACAGTGATTTATAAAGGTAAAAGGGGAAACCCCGTGTTAGGATGAGGTGTTTAATTTTTAAATTTATTTAGTATGTATACCGTCTTTTGTCTGCATGCATGCCTGCAGGCCAGAAGTGGGCACCAGATCTCATTATAGATGGTTGTGAGCCACCATGTGGTTGCTGGGAATTGAACTCAGGACCTCTGGGAGAGCAGCCAGTGCTCTTACCCTCTGAGCCATCTCTCCAGCCCGAGGTGTTTAGTTTTAATTGGGCTTGTTAATTAGGGCAGCCAAAGGGGGCTTCTGATGGGTGGACTTCTTTGATCGTTGGACCTTGGTGGTCAGCCTCAGGAGGAGGATGTGGACAAATGAGGGGACAGGCATTGGTGGCAGCGCTAGGGATGTAATCTAACGGTTTCTAGCAAAGCAGAGGGGATGGGGAGAAAGGCGAGGCCCACCAGAGCCGTGCTCACTCACCTGAGCTGGCCAGAGTCCCTTTTGTTGGCCTATGTGTTTTTGGTGAGCTGTGGAGTCCATCAACATAAGAGAATTCAAAAGTCAACGCGCAGTTGTGACCCTGGACAAGCACTGGCAGGCGGGTAGGGATGGCGCAGAGAACCACACACAGGAAGCAGAGAGCTAAGTGTTTGGAGCCACCCCTCCAGCTCCCTCAGAATTCTTTCGCCTTCTAAACCACCCTCCCCTTTCCCTGGATCTGAGTTAACCCTGTATGTGTGACACCATAAATTCTGTTTGTCGATTTCTGTCTTCAAAAGCATCGGTGAGACAAAGCTTGGAGCTGGGTAGTGTTGGCTCCCAGTACTCAGGAGGCAGAGGCAGGCAGACCTCTGTGAGTTTGAGGCCAGCCTGGTCTACAGAGCGAGTTCCAAGGCAGCCTAGGCTGGCCTTGAACTCACAGAGATCCACCTGCCTCTGCCTCCCCAGCACTGGGATTAAAGGCGAGCGCTCATAATGTAATTTTTAGAACAACCCTGTGATATTAATACTCTCATTGTTAACTGTCTTCATTTTATGGATGAAAGACTTGGAAGCCGACCTGGGCTACATACATATTGAGTTATATAGGCCAGCCTGGGCTAAATGCCGAAACCCTGTCATACACACACAAAAAAGACAAGACAGAACTGATGCTCGCAGACACTAGCTGAGCTCAGGGTTTCCCACGGATGAGTGGCGGTGCTGTGCACCCTGGAGGCTGAGTGCAGACGGCACTCTCCTTGCCTGGGCACTTTCTTCTCTGTCGCTACCGTCCCTGGAACAGAGCTGAGAAACATAGGCAACCGCGCACAATGAGTGAACCCGCATGTTGGTTGGCATGGGTCTCACGTACAGGGAAGACGGAGTGAGTCGTGACGGAAATCCAGCTCACTCTCGGCATCAAGCCACACTGAGGCGTGGACGCTGTGGCTGGAGGCTTTTCACGTAAAGCAGCCACGTGACTGACTCTCACCACTGTCTTCTCTCCCTCATTATGCCTTCCCAGACTAGCTGTGCCCCAAGAAGACAACAGGATGACCAACGTCAAGGTGAGTTGACCTTTTTTTGTTTTGTTTTGTTTTTCCGGACAGGGTTTCTCTGTATTGTTTTGGAGGCTGTCTTGGAACTTGCTCTGTAGACCAGGCTGGCCTCGAACTCACAGAGATCCGCCTGCCTCTGCCTCCCGAGTGCTGGGACTAAAGGTGTGCACCACCAACGCCCAAAGAGTGTTACTCTTCTTATAAAAGACCCCGATGATTGGTTTTCAGCACCCATGCAGTGACCTATAACTGTCCAGAGCTGCAGTTCCAGGGGATCTGATGTTCTCTTCTGCTCCCCGTGGTCACCAAGTACAGGCAAACAAAAAGTATACATAAAATAAACACAGATCTAATACTCACCTCGAAATTAGATAAGTATGCTCAGTATGGAAAAGTGAGTCATGTTGAATAAATTCACGTTTTCTGTCACTTTGTTTGTAAAAAACCCAATTTCCTTTTTTGTTTCTTTTTTCATGGCACAATCTTTTATTTGTAATAATAGAGCAGATAAAATATTTTAAATTATACCTTTTCACGTGATATCATATATTTTAATTCTTTTTTTCCAGTGCTGGAGATCAAATCCAGGGCCTTACTTCCACTAGGCAGGGGCTCTACCACTGAGCCACACCCCCCCAGCCCCTCACTGGGGGATTCTAGGCAGGGACTCTACCACTGAGCCACACCCCCAGCCCCTCACTGGGGGATTCTAGGCAGGTGCTCTACCACTGAGCTATATCCCAAGTCCTATTTTTTATTATTATTTAACAGATCAAGTTTTACTGTGTAGCTAAGTCTGGTCTGAAAGTTTCAGTCCTCCTGCTTGATCCTCAGTGCTGAGTTTTCAGGCATGTACTGTCATAACCGGCTTTTATTCCATGTTTTTTCAATGACATCATGTTCCTGTAAATTCACATAGTCTGTCGTGGAAGAGTTACAAGTGACAGATGTCTTTTCTCTACCCACAGATATTTAAATAGCTTGGCAGTTTTGATGTGTTAAGGAATGTTATAGTAACACTTGTATAAATTAATATTCTCCTCCAGAAGAAATTCAAGGAAGTTTTGATACTGTTCCTGTTGTTTAGGAATACTAAATTAAAATGCATTAAAATCTTTTATTTGTATGAGTGTTCTGCCTGCATATAAGTCTGTCCTCCATGTGTGTGCCTGATCCCCACAGAGACCAACAAAAGAGGGAGTTAGATATCCTGGAACTGGAATTAGATGGTTATGAGCTGCCATGTGGATGCTGGGAATTGAATCCAGGTCCTCTGGAAGACTTAACCTCTGAACCATCTCTCCAGTCCCTAAAACATGCTTTTGATATATGATACTTTGGTTGCTCTGTACCAAGTCATACCCTGGGTGTATTTACTAACTGGTTTACGTGTTTCCATCCACCACATGAATGTATTCTATTGGAAGAATAATGTATTCAAATTGAAAAGTCACACAAGGCGACTTGACAGTTTCCTCACACCTATCCTGGGAGGCCCCACTGGGTTTTGTGCATTCAGCAGAGCTGAGGATATAAACTCAGACAGCCTCTGAAGTCTACACGGGAGAGCACCATCCAGCAGACTTCAAAGGACTCCTGTGACGGAGAATGCAAGACCTTCTTCTGGTGGGTGTGAGATGCTGCAGACAGAGATACCTGGCTCACTCTTGAGTGACGGGGATGTCCTTCTGTATGTATGTTTCCCTTATTGGTTGATGAATAAAACACTGATTGGCCAGTAGTCAGGCAGGAAGGGTAGGCGGGGCTACCAGACCAGGAGAAGACTGGGGAAAGGAAGGATGGAGGGAAGCCTCGAAGGAGACATCAGGTAGCCAAGGAAGGAGTAACACGTCCGGACCCTTCTCTGGTAAGATAAGACCACCTGAAAATAGTTAGATTAATAGACATGGGTTAATAACTAAGAGAGAGCTAGCCAATAAGAAGCCTGAGCCATCGGCCAACAATTTTATAATTAATAGACGCCTCTGTGTATTTGTTTGGGACTCAGGGCAGCAGGACCAGGTAGAACAGAAACTGAGACTGCGCTTGAGCTGGTCCCCACCTGGGATGACTGTGGTTCGTCTGGGGACCCTGAACGTTCAGGTAGTGACCAGTTTCCAGATGCAAAGTTCAAGCAGCCTCGTTGGCCATGATGGCTCTAAAGCCTGCTGAATTCACCCCCAGGCAGCAAGTGGAAACAGTCACCACACCTTGGGGGGGGGTGTCTGGTGATGCTTGTTGGACAGAAGCTAGAGATGGTGGTGAGCATCCCACAGTACACCAGACAGCCCTCCCCAGCTAAGACGTGTCTGGCACACCATGCACGTAGTGTCCGGTTGGGCGCGGTGGACTGTCCACAGGTGTGCGCGTTCAGCAGGGCTGGGGCACGGCTCAGTGGTGGAGCTCTTGCCTAGGGCTCACGAGGCCTTGGGGCCAACCTTTCATTTCTCAGTTTATTTTTAAACGATGTGGTTAAGCCGATGGATTTGCCAGGCCCGGTGGTTCACACCTGTAATCCCAGCACTTGGGTGTCAGGGCCGGAGGTGGGAGGGTCAGGACAAGTTTAGGGCCAGCTTGGTCTACATAACAAGTTCCTGGTCAGCCAAGGCTATAAAACGAGACCCTGCCTCAACACCCACAAAGGAGCAATTATAAAATGTGGGCGGGTAGGGTGGGAACATGGACTCTGAGGTCGTAGCTACGGGGTTGCTCCCTGCTCATCGTTCCCACAGTCCTCAGAGCTGTCCTTCTTACAGAAGACCAAGCTTGAAGTTGAGTATTGGGTGTCACAGGGGGTGGTGACGTTCAGGGGTGTGGCTGTGGTCTTCAATGAGGAGGAGCTGGGGTTGCTGAATGCCGGCCAGAGGAAGCTGTGCCGAGACTTGATGCTGGAGACCTTCAGGCACCTTCTGTCAGTGGGTGAGGGCAGACGCTTGCGCCAAGAGTCAGGTCCATGCGGTGTGGCCTTAGATGTGATCGGAGCTCTTGCTAGTTCTAGTCATCATGTGATACAGAGTTGGAATCTCCCTAGTTTCATAAATGAAGTAAAAATTGAAAGCATGGTAGTATGTTTTCATCTTCCTCAAATGACAATCTCAATTAGTGGGCGGTGGCATACTCTGAGTCGTTCCTACAAGCATTAATTTCACTGAAGTAAGCTGAGGCAGCTGGAGACAGAGCTCATCAGTTAATGCTTTCTGCTCTTAAAGAGGACCAGGGTTTGGTTCCAGACACCTACATCAGGTGGCTCACAAACACCTATAACTCCAGCTCCAGGGGATCTGCTGCCCTCTACTGGTCTCCGTGGACACCTGCACTCATTCACACACACACACACACACACACACACACACACATACACACACACTCTCTCTCATATATACATCAATACAAATCAATAAAGAAATATTTTTAAAAATTAAATAGAATTAAAGCCGTAACATGTCTGTCTGTTTTAGGGCTTTTCAAGCAATGAATGTCTTCCACTGGCTTGTACTGTAAGTTTAGGAAAGAATAGATTCGATGTCCTTAAGGAGATGCAGTGGAAGGCGTATCTTCAGGGACAAGGGGCCTCTGCTGTGTTGATTTAAAATATATTCATTGCAGGGCATCAGATCATGGCTCTGGACGTTCTACTCCAGCTCAAGAGAGAAGACGTGCTTTGGATGTTGGTGATGGCCAGCTGCAGCCGCGAGGCTACCGGTGAGAGTGCAGTGACTCATCTACCCTGCTGCTGAGCGTGTGCACAGCCTTGGGGCCGGTGTCAGCCAGGCCTTCGTAGCGCTTTGAATCCATCCACTCTCAGCATCTGTCTCTATGTGACGGACTCCCTCGGACTTAGACACATCCTGCTCTTCTACATCCGGAGACTCCTTGTGGATGTGTGCACAGGTGTGCGCATGTGTGTGTGTGTATGCGTGTGCATGCGTGCACACACACACGTGCAAGGAGGCCACAGACTAATACCGTCTTCCTCGGTCACTTTGCACCGTTACATTTTAAGATTATGTGTCTTTGTATAGTGAGCACACGTACTGCAATGTGACCCACTTGTGATGCTTTGTAGAATTCTACAAGGGTCTCATTAATGAGAGGGAGCCTTGGCTTCTGGGGCGTGGAGGCGAGATGATGGGGTACAGGGTGTTAAAGGGACGGGGGAACCGCTCTCGGGTTCAGTGACACCTCAGGCTGTGGGCTTAGCTGTGTAACTCCCACAGCAGCCAACAGAGCATTCACACGCCCCGTCTCTCTCTGAGCTCTCTTTGTGCTTTAGGAGCCAGGAATCTAGACGGGATGGAGTCGCTCCGGGAAGTCAGATGGAGGCCCCTGCTGCATGAGGAGCTCTTCTGCTCACGGATCTGGCACCAGGTTTCCAGGGAGTTGGCCCAGGGTGGAGACTGCACGGGAAACACGGGAGAAACTGGCTTTCCGCGGGGGAAACAGGGTGCTGCCCAGTGTGAGGAAGCGGAGTTCAGTGAACATTCCGGCTGAATTCATTTCTCCAAGCTCGCCAGGGACAATGCCATGAAGAAGAGGCAAGTGAGAAAGATTCTGCTTGCAGCCACTGCCCTCGTGCTATTCCAGGAGACAGTCTTTCCAAGTGTGAAAAGCATGACAACACCCTCCATTGGTTCTCAAGTCTTCAGTCCAGTCAGAGAGGGTACGAGAGGAACAGACCGAACCAGTCAGCTGCGTTGTTTAAAAATCTCAGTCAAAGAGATTTCATTATCGTCAGAGTGTCCCCACTGGAGAGAACTCAGACGGATACAAGGAATGTGAGAATCTGGGGAAAACTCACAGGGTCAGACACCTCTGGTGGTCCACACAGGAGAGGGACCCCATAAATGTGAGGAGTGTGGGGCGAGCTTCTGTCAGAGCTTGTGTCTTAAGTCTGTCCACTAGTCCATGCTGGAAAGAAATTGTATCAGCATAGGGAGAGTGGGAAGGGCTTCAGCTGGCTTTCACAGATGCATCCCCATTGTCAAATCCTCACCAGAGAGAAACTACACAAATGTGAGGAGTGTGGGAAAGGCTTCTGTCGGACCTCAAACCTCCTGGCCCATCAGAGAGGCCACACTGGCGAGAAACCCTACAAATGTAGCACGTGTGGGAAGGGATTCAGCCGGAGTTCAGATCTCAACGTTCATTGTCAAATCCACATGGGAGAGAAACCCTATAAATGTGAGAAGTGTGGGAAAGCCTTCACTCGCGTCTCGATTCTCCAAGTGCATCAGAGAGTCCACAGTGAAGAGAAACCGTATCATTGTGAGGCGTGTGGCAGAGGTTTCAGCTGGAGCTCAAGCCTCCTGATTCGCCAGAGAGTCCACGCTGACGATGAAGGGGCCTTTCTTCATCAGAGGATGCATACGGGAAATAAGCTCTACAAACTTACGTTTTAATAGTTCGAGAGGATGCTGACCTTATCTAATCTGAGCTGTCAAAGGGCACAGAAAAGTTATCTCACAGTTGGGAGTGTTCTTAGCTAGAGCTATCGTAGACTGTCACGGTGTTTGGGAGACCAGACATCAGAGGGAACCAGGAAGAATGATGCTTGGTCATCTCATTCAGAACCTGACCCTTATCAGATCCATGCAGACGAGATGCCCGGGAAAGACGAGCCTTGCCTGCAATTAGCTAGAAGCACAAGTCTGTTCAGTAGGATTTAAGCTCCAGTAGAAGGGAGACATCATTCACAGACAAATTTGCCTCACCTTTCCAGGGCCTAACACGCTGCGCGCTTTCAGTAAGATCTACAGAGCGAGTTCTAGGACAGACTTCAAAACAATACAGAGAAACCCTGTCTCGAAAAACAAGCAAATAAACAAAAAAGAATCAAGAAAGCCAGGCATAATGGTTCACAGTTGTAATTCCAGCTCTCAGCAGGCAGATGGAGAGGTTTTCTATAGTATCACTTTTTCTATAGGATCACCCTGAGGTATGGTGTGAGATCCCATGGCAACACAGCAACATATTAACCATTAGCAACAAGAGGAGTGATCCTTTGATGCTCCTGTCTGACTTTTTGCGAAGGCGTTTTGCTAAGAAGAGTAGCTTCATATGATTCACTGGAATCAGTGTGAGTCTTTTCGATCTAATCCTTTCCAACACTAATTTGGCTCCCCCTCCTCTCCTTCCTCCTCTTTTTTTGAATAGGGCATTGTCTTGTTACTTGCAGGTGGCCTGTTGTATACAGATACCAATCGTTTTCAGGACTATATCCTGGAAACTACAGGGGAGGTTTTGGTCCTTCCTGGAGTTTCTTTTGTGGCCCAACAGTTCCCAGTATTCAAGTATCTAGGAGGCTGGGGGGGGGTCTGGAGTTTCTTTGTGTTCAGCTTTGGCCCTAGACTCCAGGAAGCCAAAGGGTCTGGAGTTTCCTTATGTCAGAGGCCTACAAGTCTTTTCTATAGTCTGTCATGGCTGCTAAAGCAGGGGGCTGAGTGAGGGTGTGGTCCCTTTATTTCTAAATTACTAGAAGTGAAGCCTTTGAGTTTAGTTTACCCCATCAGGATTAAAGACGTGCACCACCATCGTGCCCGGCTTTGCTTATTCTTTTTCTGTTTTAGGAGGATAGTATCACATTGCACAAACCATTGTCTTATTCCCTGGCAGTTCCTTGAGGATTTATCTTTCCCGCATCAAACTGTCTCACAGGCTGTCTGGGGACTATTTCTCTTTAGGATTCAGGCACATACGGGCAACGCTAGGGCCAAAGGTACCACCTATGAGGCGAGGACTGAAACTTCTCCAGGGTCCGGGGCCGCGTTAACTTTCAGAGGCAGCCTGCAGTCAGCCCAGCACTGGACAGAGAGGAAGGCTGGGGCAGTCGCACCACCGTGGTGAGTTCAGTCTGGGTTGCACAGTGCAAGCCACTCGCAGATCAAGTAAGAATTCCCGCGAAGGGCTAGGGAAATAACGGCGTGGCACGCAGTCCGCAGAGATGCTGTCCCCAGAGCGAGTTCACCATCGGCTGCCACGCCCACTACCGAAGTGTAGTTCTGCTGGTCCACGGTGGTTCGGCCCGCTTATCTGCGGGCGCGCTGGCGCGAAGGCTTCTGGGAAGTGTAGTCCGGATTCGCCGGCACTGGGCGCTCCTCTGGCGAGGCCGGTGGTCGCGGCGCCTTCTGGGAAGTGTAGTTCAAGTGCTCGGAGCGCTCCCGGTGCAGCTCCTGAGCGGGCTGATGCGGAGCATTCTGGGAAGTGTCTCCCGGTGGTTTCAGTTAGCATCGGTTCCCCCACGTCGTCCGGTGAATCTCCTCTCTCCCGCACCTTTCTCGACTGATCCCTGGATCCGGAGGTTTGCAGGGTCGGCCGCCCGGCGGCCGTAAGGGAATCGGCTCCAGGCTGGCGGGGTGCGAGCACAGGGCCCCCAGTGAGCCTCCGTCTGCCCCGCAGAGATCACCGCGCTGGCGGGGTCTCTGCGTGTGGTTCGGGCATCCTCCTGCCTCAGCCTCTGGAGTCCTGCGATGACAGGTGCGAGCCGTCGCACCTTGCTTCACGGCTGTCGTCTGGAGCCGGGGTGCGCGGGCCGTGCTGCCAGGGGTGTTTGGGGGTACTGGGGCAGCTACCGTCACCCGGCCCTGAAGGTCCTGGGGCTCAGCCGCACTGCAGGGAACCGGCATGGGGAGAGGGGGTCTGTCGCGCAGACCGACCCGTCTGTGGCTTTTCCACGACATCAGACTTCACTGAGCGATGAGAAAGTCACAAGCTATGTCAGTTTCGCTGGCTGCCACCTGCCAGGGAATCTCGATTTCACTTGGTAGCTGGCCGCTGATCACGGGATCTTTTATTCCCACCTTCGTAACTAACGATAAATCTCACGCACACAGTTAGTTATACACACCCGGAGTTGCTGGCAAGAAGGTTAAAGATGGATGCTTCAGCATTCGGGCGGGTTCCCTTGAAGTCGCAGGCAGAGAGCTGCTGGCACGGGTGCAGGGAAGAGGCGGGGAGGGGACGAGATTCTACAGGAGAAGGCACAGAGGACGCGCGTGAGGGCTACCCTGAAGTGAGCTGATTGTCACAGGCAGAATCAGCCGAACTGGGCTTGAGAACAGAGGCGGGAGCCCTTCAGTGGACAAGGTTCCTGCCAGGGACCAGCGACTGAGCAGTGTGCCTGCAGCCTGCAGCATTCGGGTCCCTTGGTGAGGGAGCTACAAGTGTTTCCAGTGTGACTTGGTCCGTTTGCTTTTAGGCAGAATCTTTTTTTCTTTTTTGAGACAGGGTCTTTCTGTAGACCAGGCTGACCTCGAAATCACACATTAAATGTAAGGCATAGCATTAAAATTTTTTCATTTTATTCCCTCTCTCTTTCCGTGACTTGGTGTGTATGTCGTATGTGTGTGCTAGTACATGCGTGTGCTGATACATGCATGCACACGGTTGCATGTGTGTGGAGGCCAGAGGTCAGCATCAAGTGTCTTCCCGCCGTCACTCGCCACCTTATCTTTTGAGGCTGTGTTTCTCACGGAACCTCCAGACTAGCTGGCCAGGGAGGCTTGTGGTCCCCCTGCCCCTGCCTCCTCCGTGCAAGCATCTCAGATGTGTGAAGCATGCTGGGCTTTGTATATGAGTGCTGCGGGACCAAATTCCATTCTCGTGCTTGCCCAGCACTCGTATGCCAACGCCCTGTCTTTAATCATTTCATAATGACATTGTATGTGTGTCTGTGTGCATGCCACTTGGTGTGTGTGGACGTCAGAGCACAACTCCCAGGAAGAGTCCCAGGGATTGAAGTCCGGTCACCAAGGTTGGTGACTGCACCTTTTTCCAGTGGTCCATCAGCACCTGAGTTCCTCTCTGTCTCTCTGTCTCTCTCTGTCTCTCTGTCTCTCTGTCTCTCTCTGTCTCTCTGTCTCTCTCTGTCTCTCTGTCTCTCTCTGTCTCTCTGTCTCTCTCTGTCTCTCTCTGTCTCTCTGTCTCTGTCTCTCTCTCTTTGAGACAGGGTTTCTCTGTGTAATCCCAGCTGTCCTGTATTTTGCTAAGCAGACCAGGCTGGCTTCAAACTCAGAGATGCTCCTGCCTCTGCCTCCTGGCTGCTAGGTATAAAGGGGTGCGCCACCACCGCCCGGCCCTTTCTTGAACTCTTGAATCTTCTGTTTTAGTGTAGAAATGAAAGCCTTGAACCATTCGTGTCCTGTGTTCCTGAGTTCTTCTTGTGTTAATTTCTGTCATGGGTCAGGTCCCTGACTGTGGTCAACTTCAGCCGCAGGGGGCGCTCCGGGACCTCCTTTCTGTCCCCATCAGTACTGGTTAACCCTGGACACCGTCTGTATTCTCTTTGAGGAAGGGGTAAGACTGTCTCCAGCTTGGTAGGCAGGAGGGGACGACTCGACTGCGTTGTTGGAATGACTGCCATGGTATTCACAATGCTGTCTCCTTCCACAGCCTGCCCTCTCTCTCGGCGTGGACTGAGTGGAAGGTGAGGCCGTGACTCCGTCAGTGCCAACAGCAATGCCGCTGGTGAGTTGACCTGACTTCCGTTGTTGCTTTGAGGAGTCGCACACTATGTAGCCCTGGCTGTCCTGGAGCTCCCTATGTTGGCCAGGCTGGCCTCGAACTCAGAGAGTTACCCACCTCTCCTTTCCGAGTGATGGGATTGAAGTGTATGTCACCACGCCTGACATATCTTTCTTATTTGAGCGGTGACGGGCTTGAGAAAGGGTGGGTAAATTAGGGCTTCAAGGTTGGGCTGGAACTTGTACGGCCCGGGTCCGTGGCCTAGGTTCCTAACTTCCTGGATGTGTTCTCATCAAAGCAGAGGTCTGCCAGGGATTGGAACCAGAGCTTTAGAGAGAGTGGTGGAGAGACAGAGAACGGAGACTGAACCTTGGTGGCTGCATTGGGACTTACAGATAGATGCAGGGTCCGGTGAGCCCCTGGTCTGACTTTACGGTGCTGACCTGACCTCTACCTACAAGATGACTCAGCAGGTAAAAGTGCTTGTTGGCAAG